TCAGGAACTCTTAGTAAAACAGGGATTTTTAAAACCCCTAAATCCCTGTTTACCTGCCTAGAATTAAAATGGTGATTTTAAAAAAAAATAAATGGCAGCTTGTGGTTTTGTCTTGGCAAAATATGAAATAAATATAAATTGATTAAACTTCTTTTAATAGGTATTTACCTACAATTTGTCTCAAATCCAGGTATAATCTAGATTCATTATCTTGCCCCTTCTGTCTCTGAGCTGCAAGTGGTGAGCAGTGAGCTTGGCAGGCTAGCAGAAAATGAGTTAGGAAGGTAAATGTTGAGCCAGGAAATCCGTTCCTGAGTGGCTGTGGGTGAGCTGTTTGATCAAAGGCTTAAGGAGAGACAAGCTAGCTGATGCAGGCAGTGACCCTGACCCTCCCAAGGGCCACTCCATAGACCTTAAAGGATCAGAAGGTACTCCGATCTTAAGGAAGCCTGTGATACCTAGTGGAAATGATCCGAAAGTCTGCTTCTAGGACTGGCTCAGCTTACAAATCTTCAGAGATTCTGGGCAAATCACCCCTCCCTCTTTAAGGCTATTTCTGCAGGGCTGTGGTGGATTTTTGGCAGGCTTACCCATCCATGGCCAAAGTACTTTGCCAAGTTCACTGCTTGGTGCTCTCAGCTGTGAAGCAGAAGGGGCAGGATTATCCAGCAGTATTGCTTCAGATAATCTAACAGGCCTGTATAGACAGCAGTGAAACTCCAAAGTATTTCACAAATTAAGCAATTCGCTTTGCAGAAATACCCATAACTTCAGATAGAAGCAAAAGGAAGGAAGGAAGGAAGGAAAAGGAGAAATGGATGGATGCCAGGATACCATCTCCAACTCCTTGATAGAGGATCTTAGGTTCATTTGCTTTAAGCCCTCACTTTCAAAGTCCTTATGTAAAATGAGGAAGATGAATAGCCTAACAGTTGAAAATAAAAGTGATTTGCTCATATACATAACCTGCCTACCTGGCTAATTTTTCAAAAAGTATGTTAAAGTCAACAGCATGCCGAGGCAGACGGTTCTGTAGGGACTGTGTCATCCATGGAATGAGCAGCAGGCTGATTTGGAGAAGGCAATGCCACCAGAGCTCAAGGACTCACCAGCATCATTGAAGACTGTTCGTTTTGCTTCTATAGGACTGGCCAAAATGCTGCTTCAGCAGTGTGGGTTTCACAGTGTCACAGTGGGGTTTGTTTCTAGTGTATTTAGTGACATTATTGTGAGATGGCATTGGTCAGGACAGCATCACGCAGAGCATTCTTGTATAGTAACGATTGTTTTACATTATTCCTCTATGGCACCCTGAGGTCTAGAAGCATGTACGGCTTGCCGAATTTGCATTTGGAGTTACAAAACTCCACGTGCCACGTGCAGGCCTGTGTGGCACTCTTCCCACCAGGTATTTTGAGCATCAAGCAAGTGTGGAAGTAACACTCATTCTCACACTTACATGTTGAATGTATAATTGATTCAGAAACCTCTTAAACACCTGTCAATCTGACATGTGGCATTCTGCTCTTTCTTATTGTACTGGTATCTTATTGACATTGATTGTCCACATGAAGAGGCATGAATATCAGGGTCAGGGTTAAGGCAATAACTTTGGTCATTGGAGAATGTAGCATGTGCTGCCAGCCTGACCTTGGAAAAAGGAAAGTGACACAAAGAATTGACATTTTTCCAAAGGTCCATCCTTGGGAATCACTGAACAGGAACCACCAGAGCCTTTTCAACAGGATGAATAAACCATTTGTCAAATCTGCTTGGTCACATGATCGAAAATATTCCTAACCAAGAATATTTTACGTTTCTCTAAAGTCACTGATTTGAAGGAAACTCAAGCACAATCCAGTGTCACTGGCAACATTCTCTCATCTTCTCATGTTGAGAGCTTTCATCCAGGATGTGAGCATGTACACACACACACACACACACATACACATACACGCACGCGCACACACGCACACACACACACACAGTCTAAGAGTGAGGTAGGAGAAAATTTTAGCCAAAGACAACGAGGCAAGCCTAGAAACTCATGGGGAAATGGGTGATATGGCCCTGGATTATAATCCTAAACCACACAATGTTGCCTTTATGGTGTATTAATTCTGTTTTTAGCCTACCCAAAAGGTCCATTTTACCAAGTATGATATATGCAAGGTAAAAGGTGTGTTTTAAACAATAGAAAAACCGCTGAATGTATTTTTTAAAACATTGTGGTTGAGCAAATAAATTCTACTTATATGTTTATATCCATGGCCTAATCCAGGGGACCCAAACATCTTAAGTGTGAGAACCCCTTTTTAACATCAAAATATTTTATGGACCCATACAAATAAACACACACACACACACACACACACACATACACAGCAGTTGCATTCATAGTGTATATTTGGAGCTAAATAAATATAAAAATGAGAGTGCATGCTGCCACATGGATTCATAGACCCCTTGTAATACCTGAGACAACCTCCCCAAGAAGTCCATGGCCCTCAGATTAAGAAGCCAGTCAGTTTCTGGGTCTCAGAGTTCTGGGAAGAGAGGAAACAACACTGAAGGAGGGATAAAAAACCCAAGTCTAGGCTTCTACCACTTACTAGTTGTTTGACCTTGAGCACATCACCTAAATTCTCTCTGAGTCTGTGTCTTCATTCCTAAAAGGGTTAGAATACATTATTCTCATCTGTAAAAGGGGAATGAAGTTTTTCACAATCTCTGCCTTAACAAGATAGTTGTAAGTGTCAAATGAGATATATATAAAGCACTTTGTGAACACCTTCAAGCCCTACATAAGGATCAAGCATTATTATAGTCCGCATAATTCTCTTGCACGTAATTCATGTTTATAACACTGAAGGTTGCAAAGCTCTTCCTCACAGCAACCCTAGGAGTTGGGAAGTGCATGTATTCATTTCTCCAACTGAGACTCAGCAAGGTTAATTAACTTGTCTGTGATCACACAGCTGTCAGAGCCCAGACTTGATCCCAGGCACCCCCTTCCTGAACACCTATACCATGCTGCCTTTCTTATGCCTTATGTATTATCTGTTGCAAAAATAAAGGCAGAGTAAGAAATCAACTGCAAAGGGAAAAATCCTTTTTAAATTCATTTGAACATGTGTGCTCTCTTGAGTCTTGCTGCTTTGTTTCTGTGATGGAAGCAAAAGACAATGGCAGGGAATAGACTTCAGTAATCATGTGTGGACCACCTTGCCTAATAAAGGGCCCTGACTCTGGAGTCAGAAGCTCTGGTTTCTGCTGTCTCAGCAAATCCCTTTCACCACTCTGGGCCTCAATTTTCTCAGGTGTAAATGAGAGGAGTTGGACTCATGATTTCGAAGTTCCTTTCCGACTCTTGCTGTCAGGATGTGATGAACCACTCCACTCTTCCAGCTTGTTTCCAAACACCTTTTTTCCTCCCGTGTTGAAGGGAGTTCTCTAGTGGCCATTTTCAGTCTGGTTCCCAAAAGGAAGACCTGATTGGCCATCACTTTTAGGTTCCCGCTGTGCCTCCTGTTTGGCTCCCTTTCCTTTAACTCATTCGAGACATATCTCACCATCTACAACAGGAGAGGTTCCTGGAAATTGAATTTTATGAATTAAATCGTATTCTCAGAGGCAGTTTAGCATATTGGATTTGGTACTGGGCTTGGTGTTCAGGAATACTTCTCTCAACCTTAGGAAATACCTTAAGACTCAGCTAAGGGCTCTTTGTGCGGCAGAAAAAGTACTCTTTGGAGTCTAGACCTCGGTTCAAATCTTGGCTCTTCTAACCAGCTGTGACTTTGGACAAATCACTTCTTCCCTCTACACCTCAATTTCTTCATCTATGAAATTAAGCTGTTAGGCCAGGTGACCTCTAAGACTCCTTCCAGCTTTAAATCCCACTGAGTCATAGGTGGATTGGGTTGTTCTCCCTCATGGACAAGTTCCAGATGAACTGGGGGGGGCTTGTATGGATTCACCAATTTGTTGGTGAATCATTTGAAAAAGGAAAAGGACTTTTTTTGTATATTGGTTTTGTATAAAGCAAGCTATGACTGTAAATAGATTAATGCAAAAGGGGAAAATTGAGATCCACAAGATGGTTTGAAAACACTGTTACCTTCTAGGCCCAATATACTTAACGCTGAAGAATGGTGGGCAAACATGTCAAGCCCTAACACAAATTCTGTGTCTGCCATATGCAGACATCCAAAAACCATTGACCTTTGTGTTGGGAAGCATTTGGGTTTTTACAGTGTCTGTATTTCTATGAAAAGTGTAAGGTCCTGGAGAAATTAGAGTCTAGATGTCTTGACATCAGGTGAACCTAATAGAAGAAATAAGCATTTGTGAAAAAGTTGTTCTTCCCAATTCCCTGCTAACTGAGGCCACGGGAAGCTGCACACAAAGTGTGAAATAGCAGTTTGTAGCTCTAGCATTGAATGCTTCTAACTTTTTCTTCCTCCTCAAAGCAATATTTTCTTTTCACAAATCTGTTACCATCCATCCTGTTGTTTCACCCCGCTGTTTAAAATGTGTGACTATGGGGGCAGCGAGGCGGCATAGCGAATAGAACCCCTGCTCAGGATTCAGGAGGACCAGAGTTCGAATCAGTCCTCAGACACATAACACTTACTAGCTGTGTGACCCTGGGCAAGTCACTTAACCCCAATTGCCTAGCCAAAAAATAAAATAAAATAAAATGCGTGACTATCTAGAACCACGATTTTATTTGCAATGAAGAAAAGTAAGTTTGGGGTTGTGCTCAGGAAATTTCCATTTTAAGATTTTTTTATCCCACTTCTGGGATGGTTGTGGTTTGTAAAAATCTAGTAGGAATTGCTAGTAAACAGAAGAACCGTTTGAGCGGGAATTGTACATGCAAGGCTGAATGCTGATCAGCAGAGCAGAATATTGCATGCTGAAGTATGCTAACTAAAGCACAATTAATCACATTTTTTCTCCTCTTCTTCCCCCCCCCCCCCAATCTCCTGCTACAGAGACTGCATTTGCCTCCAGACTTGTCAGACACAGTGAGCCGCTCGAGCAAACAGGATCTGGTGGAATCCGCCAAACAGCTGAGCCTGGGATGTGGCGTGATGGCTGAAGGCAAAGAGCGCCTGGACTTCTAGGGATTGCTACTTGGGGGCCTCTCTCAGACTCCTGTGACACCTGCTTTATACCCTCTTTGAGGTTACCAATGGCTTATGTGAATATTTTTCTTAATGATTTAACCCAACAATCTTAAAAACCCATAAAGAATTTTTAAAATGGTATCTGCTTTCTTCTTTGTGTATGTTTTTAATCATGGTTTGGTTTTGGTTTTTTCCTAGAAAACTGTAACTGAAATATTTCTCCATTTAAAAGTTACGATTTAAATAATGAAAAATACATTCCTCCTTAGTGTTGAGAGGTGGGGAACTGCTAGGGCAGCATGTAGTATACATTATCAGATGCAGCCACTGTTTAGGATGGTCTTGCTTGTTTTTCTTTTTAACAAATTAAGGCTAAATTTAGAAGAGGAGGACGTTTTTAGAAATAACTCTAATGTAAAAGCAGAGGGCATCCGTAAGATTTATTTTTATATTCAAAGAGTTATATGTTATATTCTTAGTCAGAATAATAATGTTTTATTTTGTAAATACAAACAAACTAAACATCAAAAAAAGATCATGCTGTTCTGCAGTGGACAATGGTGCATTTAGATTTTTTTGTCTATGTAAAAAATAGTAATAGGTAGTATATGGAAATCTTGTAAGATTCAAAAAAGATGTTCATGTTAACTAGGGATCATAATTACTTGTTATTTCTGAAAATGCCATTCTCCACTGAAAATATTGTAGTTTGGACTGAGCAAGATATGACAAATTAATTTTGCAAATGTGTAAGGACTATACTGTATTGAAGTATGCTAGCATGTCATGTGCATTCTGTTATGTAAATTATTAAATTGATAAAGAAACATAATTTGAGGGTGAAACTATTGAAGACAATACATGTGCATTGTTGGTTAATGAATGTATTAAAACAAACTGCAGTGATCCAAATTTGTGCAGCCTAGAAAAGGAATTGATGGCCTTCTGTAGTTCCCAACAGTAATCCTGAACGTTTGAAATCAGAACTATAAAATCATGTCACCAAACAGGTCAAGATTGAAATCCAAACTGACAGCTTTATTAATGCCAGGATACCCAAAAAAGGGCACTGAAGCTGGATGGGAAAGTAGCACAGAACCCAGACTTGAAACCAAATGGTGGAGGATTTAAAAAAAAAAAAAAATCAACCAACTCATCTCCCTCTTGCATCAGCTCTGCCCTTCATTAGTAAATTCAGGAAGGTTGGTTATCCAACAACAATTCATTCAGATCCTCCTCTGGGCAAGCCTCCTAAGAATGTGAGGCCATTATCCATACACATGCCAAGCTGCACACATTTTGTTGCAACAGATTTGTAGCAATAACTTTATCTTGAAGTCACATTTCCACGTCCTTGAATTTTTGTATGTGTGCTCAAGGTGACCCTGGCACAGGGTAGGCACCAGTGAATGTCACTTACAAAGCAACATTTCTATCTTCCAGCAACAATTCTCCTTCTAAATGGGCTTTTCAACACCAACAGAGAGAAAACTGGGTTTCCAAAATATATTTTCATATATGTTATTCTATTTTGATGTGATTATAACTCACATTTTCAAGTGGCCTACTTTTAATATGTTACAAATTTCACTTTATTTGTTCTTGACCACATTGCATAAAACAAAGACTTAGCTTTTAAAACTGTCTAACTAATATGATGAATGTCAATCACGTAAAAAAATCCACTGTAGCATAAACACATACTGTATACAGCTTTTATTCAGAATTAGAATAATTGAATCAATGACAGTGATTTGCTTGGATGTCAAATCTCTCCATCATATCCTGTCACTACCAGTTTATTTTTTGTGATAAAAATCAAAAAGACTACTATTTTTTTTCAGCCGCTATTTCATTAGTAGTAACAATCAGGGTTTTTTCCTTTTTTTCTTTTTTTTTCCTAAGAATGTCTCAGGGTGTTTTTTTCCCCCGTTTCTTTTAATTCCTAAAGACACAAATTCTTATCAATTTTCTTTTCAAAACAAAGTTTCAGACCTTATCTGTCAGTTAAAATTTAAAGGCTTTGATATTTTTAAGCAAAGGTGTTTTTAAAAATCTCAACAGACTTCAAGAACTGATTTGGTGTATGCTTTATAAATAACCAAAAAAAAAAAAAATACTGAACAAAAGCTTTGCTGTGTCCTTTGAAAGTAATTATGAACAATTTGAACGCATTCAAATGAATATTTGTAGTCAGGTTATTATTTTAACAAAACTAATCTCTTTTTTTCCTGTATTGTAATTCATTTGATACAAACACAACTGAACAATTATGTTGAATTTGACTCTGAAAAGACGAACTGAAGTCATCAAATATGTAAATTGCTTGTCAAAATACTTAATAGGTCATTGATTTACTTCCCTGGCTACCATGTCTATAAAATTAACAGCCAATTACTAGTTAATATATGCTTTGCAAGTAGATAAGTACTATAGGAACTGAATATGCACATTTAAACCTTTGATTTAAATATAAAAAACTTTGCAAACTCAATAAAAGTAAATTTGTAGCAATAAAAATATGTAGGTCTTATGAAAATCAGATTCAGGTGCTTTTCTTTGTTTCCTTAAAAGGAAAACAGTTCAAAAATTTTTTCTTAACTTCTAGAAACATTATTTGTACTAAAACATACTAAGATGACTTAGTAACTTAATCCCCCCAAAAAGTGGTCTTATCTCTAAACATACCCCTTTTCATATTAAATGAAATATGAGACATCAAGAGAGCTTTTGTCCTTCAATTATCCACTTGAAGAGCAATATAAATACTTAATTGCAAAGATTTCATCATGCTGTTTTAAATATTTCTAGTATATGAACTTCAAAACCTGATGTGTAGCATTAGTCCCTTCCAATAGGTTTGACTCTCCTTAACATGAGGTCAATATTTTGACTTATTTGGGTTGACTCAGATACTTGAGCTTCAGTACCTTCTTAATTTTATGGTCACCGCAATGCAATCTTCACCTTCCACTTCCTCATTCACCATTTTTCCTCTTCCTCCCAGATCTAGGGGGCTCCCAAAACTAACACAGGCTATGGTTACTTCAAGAGGAAGCAGCTGTCTGGAATCAATCCCCTGGTTATCTTCTCATTTTAAAGAATCCCTCAGATGCTCTCTCTCTCTCTCTCTCTCTCACACACAGACACACACACACACACACACAGACACACACACACACACCATTGATCTGATTAAGTCCTTTAACATTAACATTCCCAAGGCATCCAATGACTCCTTTCCAGAGAGGGCCACCATTAACAACATCCAGTGCAAGCAAAACCAACCTAAGTGTTTACTCTTTGAACTTTAAAACTGAGTGCCATGTTGTTCAGAACTCCGTTGAACAACTAGATCAAAGTTTATCTTTTCAGAAAGGGAAAAGGAGAAGATGTGTTCAACCCTGTTAGGCCAAACTTATTATTCAGACAGCTGGAGTGGAGAAGAGTCCTTTCTTCAGTCTTGTCGACATCGATGCCCAGAGCAGAAAGAAATGAACCAGAAGGTTGTGTGAGGCATCTCTAAGATAAAAATCCATCCACAGAACAAGAATGAATTTTAAATAACACTTTGCAAATCTATTTTGGCCAGCCCAGTTACAACTGAAACCGGAGAACTAAAGGCCATTAGTGACCAGCCCCAGGAAGTCATTTCGCATTAACAAGAGGCTTTTCTTTTAGGAAAATCAGCCCTTTTTTTGAGACAAGGAAATCTATTTTTGTGACAGAGATTTTTCCACTCAGGTTCACTTGATGAGAGTGTTTATTAAAAAAACAATTAGCTTTCTCTCTTCCTATAGAGCAAAACAATTCTGTAGAGAAAGGATGAGTTGTACAGCCCAGGAGTTCTATGAGGGACCTGTCTCATCAGCAGACCCTGGGCTAGGAGAGCACATGAAGCCATCTCTGAGGCGCTTCCATTGGTAAATAAATATATCTATCTGTGAATAAATTAATCAAAATAAGCCATCTCAACCGTGAACAAAAGGCCAACCTCTCCCAGGCAGCTGCTTTTTGACAGCTAGGCACAGCTGAAGCAGCCCCAGGGTTTATGCCAGGTTGGCTCAGGTAGAGCTCTGCCCCTAGTGCCACACCACAGTCTCTCCTCTGGAGATGAGATGAACTCTTTCCCCATGGCAGGGGCACCACCCAACTGGATGGACTGAAGGGTCTCAGGTTCCACTGAACAGCAGCGTCTTCTGGCCAAACCAGGCCACGTCCTCAGGGACATCCCTGAGGCACAAAGGACAGATGCACACACAGACACAGCCTCAGCGAGGCTGCTTCCACATGCGCAAGCACTCTCTACGGTATTGTCAGCTAGGCCAGAAAATGGGAGGCTAAGGCCGGCTGCCTGACTGCCCCCAAACACAGCTCCTCTACAGGTTACAGAGCTGGGGGCAGGGAGTCAAGGCCAGAAGCGTATGCACGTGCAGGCATGCATACACATATACACAGCCTTATGGTCCTTCACTACCATTTCACTTTGCACCCAGAGTCCCCTGGGGAAGTGCAGACAGCAAAATGTCAGGAGGTGGAAATGTCTGCAAAGGTATTAGAAGAGATTACACAAAAGACTGGGTCATTTTGTGTGTGCCAGTGTGTGTGTGTGTGTGTGTGTGTGTGTGTGTGTGTGTGTTAGAACCCACATATACACAAGTGCTCACATTTCACTAGCATGCATCATATATGCATGGGTGTCCTTTGTGTGTACAGAAAAGGGGGGAGAGAAAGAGGGAGAAAAGAAGAGAGGAGGGAGAGAAAAATAGATGGGGAGAGAGCAAGAAGAGAGAAAGGGAGGGAGAGCGAGCGCAATGAACATAGGCTATCGCAGTGTGGAACAGCTCTACATGCAGGGTGGTAATTTACAAAAAGAACAGAAAAGGCATAAATATGAAGATGATCAGAAACGTATGCAGTTGCAACATGATAATTTGCCCCAAAGTAATCTGTTAATTATAAAGTATTATTACTAAAGAGGGTGAGGAGAATCTCTCCAATTATTTTCTGTGTTTCCTTTCTTTTGCCTTGTAAACACACAGGCTCCTATGCACACATATTCAAGTATGTAAGCATGCATATGCATGAACACATATGTACACACACATGTGCATACACACACACACACACACACACAATGTGATTCAGCAGAGCATGGCTTTGTCCCCAGGGTTTCCTCTATGTGCGAGTATTCAACCCAGACTCCCAGGATACCCAGTTTTTTCCTGAAGTTTATGGTGAATACCTTATCTGCATCTGCTTCTGTGTTTCTGAGACAAAAATCGCCTCAGAGGATGCCTTTTCCTTCTCAAAGGCCTATTTGGGTTCACTCTACTTGGATTCAGAACTCAGGGTCCGAGATCGGCTGCTTTAAACGTGATTCGATCTGGTCTTCCCTTCGGATCACAACTGCCCCACAATGAGCCAGCTCTGTCGACGTGAGAATGTTTGCCTTCAGCTGCCAATGACTGACGGCCTTTAACTTTTCCTAGCCAGTCACAATCCACATTGTGGGTGCCTGTTGGTGTGTCTGTTCTCATTATTCCTTGACATGCAACATCCCCCCCTCCACTCTCCAACCATACGCAGCCCCACAGAAAGCGAGACTCAAATGAGAACAGCTGGAGAGTTTCAATGGGAAATGATGCCTCTTGTGCAAAGTGGGGGTGGGGGGAGGTGGAAAGAAAGGACAGAGAAAAGCAGGAGCTTTCAGAGAGTTTTGAATGAGCCAATCTACTTTTGAATATACTTCAGAGAAACCACGGTGGAAATGGGCTGCCCGCTGAAGTCTGTCCAGACTGGAAATCCCAGCCCGAATTCAAAAAGCAAGGCCTACTGAGTAGCCTGTTGCCTTGTCAACTATCCTTAATTCTTCAGTCCATTCTTCCAAAACCAACCATCTCGTGTACATTTCATAGGTATACGTGGGCACAGATCTATCTCTGTACAGAAGAAATTGAATTTCTTTGTCTAATGAGTACCTTACGGGCTTGGGTGGATCCAGGAATTATTTCCTGGAGTGCCTTCCAGATTTAAAATAGAATCTGATTTGAAAAGAATAGTCCACAGAAAATGTTACCCCAATATGGAAACAAAATTTGCACCAGCACACTATGAGGTTAAAAAGAAAATAGTATAATCAAGGAAATACAAAGGCTTTGGCATGGTTTTTACAATCAACAATGGTTAATTTTGATATGTAGTTGTGAACAACTGCAAAACACTTAAGTTTCAAACTCTTGCAAGCACTTTTAATTGATTAAAATGAATTCTAGATGCACAAAAATGGTTGGACTGTGAACAGCAGTACAAGTCTAGCTAAGAACAATTAACCTTTGATGACCAAGAAAGAAACTTAGGATGCATGAAAATGTGTATAAAACATCTATAGAGTATTCTTGTCGAATATAAATGAAATTAACTTTATTATAGAAATCATTCTGGGAGATTTCTAGGGAAGACAAATACTTACATTTTGACATAAAACAAATTGGATTATACCGAAGACACAATCTACCTTTTTAACCTATCAACTTTTCTTTGAAGTTCTCTCATATCCTTTTTTTTCTTTTTTTTCTTTTTTTTTTTTTTTTGCACATAAACTTCATCTGTTAACAACCTTTGGGAACCCAACAGATTTTTTTTTTTCTTACGAATGTCTAGTGCGTATTGTTGCAGGTTTCATTATATGGGATGGAATGATACAAACTCGGAATGTCAGTCCATCACCTACGAACAGATTGGTAGAAGGATTCGATATATCTTGATAAAAACTCTTGAATTTGTGGCAGAACTCGTTGATCATGGCTTCCTTTTTTTTTTTTTTTTAACAGCTTCATGACCAACACAGATCAGAAACATCCATCTAGTCCACGTTGTTCTTTGTTTTTCATCATAACATACAAATGCTCATTTACAAATAATACACCAAAATGAATAAAAGTTTGGATACCAAAATGAAGATTTGTTCCAACTGATATAATGCCTTCTGTGTACAAAGGTCCATGAGTAAAGTCTTTTTTTCTCCAAGTGGTATGGTGTGGTACAACACAGTTGTAATCCAGAAGCACTTCTCACAGCTGATCTTCCTTTATAAAATACTCTTAAAACATCCAACTGTTGTCCATATATAGTCATTGACTGAAGTAACACACTTTTTTCATTTCTTTCCTTTCTTTCTTCTTTTTTCTTTCTTTCTTTCTTTCTTTTTTTTTTTTTTTTTACTGTAATCGTGGCCAGTATTGAGACATATCAGGTTCACTTCCAGGAACTTGAACTGGGACTGACACTCCAGGAGAAATGAGGCCTAAAAAGGGAGAGGAAAAAAAAAATCCACATAAATACATATATAGAAATGACATGAAACAATGTGGAATTTTTTTAATCTTCCAAAATATAAAATCCATAGTGATTCCTAGTATTATATATGTGTGCATGTGTGTATAGATGTATATGTGTGTGTGTGTGTATATATATATAGGTTATATATCTGTGTATATATGTGTGTGTGTATATATATATAGGTTATATATCTGTGTATATATGTGTGTGTGTATATATACATATATATACATATATATATAACTATCTTTGAAGCATATATCACAAATCAAGTGGTATTTTTCAAAAGAGGATGAAAGTGTGGTTTGTCTTTCCAAATGCTTGCAACATAGGAAAGCAATCATACTATGCCACAGATTCAAAATTAGAAGACATTTTGAGACGTCATTTAATTCAACCCTCATTTTACAGATGAGGGAACTGAGGACTGATGAGGTTATGGGTCAAGGTCACATAAGTGATAAGTAGCAGAACAGGGTTTCACACCCAGGTCCTCCAAATACAAATCCCCTGATAGTCCAGCTCTGCCTTTGAAAAGCATTTATTTATAAAGAAGGACAGAAATGATCAGAGAACATGGAAATGCATTCAGTAATCCCTGTCTGAGCACAAATAGAGGCCTTAGCTGTGCTTCAGAGACAGCTGGAGGAGGGGTCCTATTGATTTTTTTTTTTTACATTTTAATAAATCATTTTATTATCAGGAAGAGAGAGCAATGCCAATCAAGGTGATTAAACTCAGGATCGCCCAGGTTTAGAGACTATAATAAACCTATAAGTATGATAAACCCAGACAAAGAAAAAGAAACAAAAGCTACTCAAAGGTATATGAAGTTGGGTCTGGGGATTAACCAGAGCAGGGAGCTGGCAGCACCAGAAAGAGGAGAGTCATTCCATCTGAAGACTAAACAATGGGATGAGAAGGAGGGGCTACTCACCTGTTGAAGTGGTACCAGAAGTGCCCATTGGCTGACTGTTCATGTGTGTCTGCATGTGCGGAGGGGTGTAAGTATCATAACTCCGCCCATTCACCGAAGGACTAGTGGGCAGCATGCAAGAGTAGGAGGAGGTCTGGCTGGGGACAGGGGGCTGTCAGGAAAAAGGAAAGGACAGTTACAGAGAAATGCCCCCGAAGTGCAGCTGCACCCGTTTTTAAAAGTGGGTGTCATTTCTGATTTTTCAACAGGATTGTTGATTCAAAGCTGTAAGGGGCCTAAGAGGTGACTTCATCCAACTTTTTTGTTTTCCCAATGAAAGGGAAAGACTTGTCCAAAGTCACACAAGCTAACTAGTCAAGGGCAAAATTCAAACCTAGGTTTTCTGACTCCAAATCTATGTCGCTTCTCCTTAGATGGGGCCAACACAGTGGAACCCTATGAAACATTGGTGGTAGATGATTGTGTTTATTAAAGGAAGCCTTCAAATAACATATTTAAATACTAGAAACCCAGTAGGGTTTCAATCCAACCAATGTTCGTTGGTTGCTGTTATATGTCAGGAGTAGATGACTATGGCCACCATTTAACCATGGCAGTATTTATAAAGGCACCAGACATCCAAATGAAAACAGAAAAATTTGAACAACTAACTTATGTTGGCAATCATAATATTTGGCATTTACTATTTGGAATTCTACAGGTAATTTTTAAAAAGTCTACAAGTTTTATCTTGGAAATGTAGAGTCCTATTGATATAAGCAAAATATGTAGCCTGCAGATTTTGTGAGCTTCTGTGATGATAGGAATGAATTTTTCACTGTGACTACAAAACACCAAATGATCAGCTCTGGAGGTTGTTTACATCTGCCCATAAAAATAGACACTCAAACTTGGGGTTCCATCATCCTCCCTGCACACACATACACAAACACACCATCACTACCACCACCAACAATAACAATAACTTGCTCCATCTCACCCTATAGTGAAGGCTCAGAAAAAGCCTGAATAGGGGCTAGGGAATTTACTTGATATTACTGATCACAGCCAATTAAATATTTCTTGAATAGTACAATAAGGTCAGTGTGGTTAGGGTAGAGGCAGTTTAGTCATTAGGAAGTCCCAAGAAATAGCAGGAACACAAATTTCTCTGGTGAATCACTAATTCACTGAGGTTCTGACCACTGAGTTCCCATCTTTGTGGAGCTGTGCAAATAAAATCATTGTGGACACTCCATAATGGTTAATAAGCACACTAATGAAAAGAAAGACAGTTATTCCTAACTAATTAAAAAGTGCACTGACTCTACACCTCAGGGCTCCTAGGTGTGAATAATAAGAATTAATAATAATCACACCTTGAGTGTATATCACATCTTTTCTTGTTCTCAGAGATCTATCTGTCCAACGCTTATTCCCCCCCTTTTATCCTCCCAGCAACCCTGATGTTGCTTCTGTTTTGAGTCAAATTGTATAAGATTCAGTGTGGCTTTATTAAAGCAGGAGAATTGTTCTTCTAATGTCAGGTTCAAAGACACAAACAAGCCTAGATGACCCATCAGCCATTCCAGCATACAACAAACCAGTAGTCTTTACCACTAGGTAGGCTGGCTTCTGGAAATTTTCATGGCAAAGATGGTAAAAATCAAGCTTTGTGTTGTTAATCCCCTAATTTGTGTCAATTGGGCCACCAGCCATTAATATCCCAATGTAATCAAAATAAAATATTTCAACAACTCCCCTGCTTATGTCCTCAAAACACAGTCTCTTCAATCCTATAATTTTGTAGGCTATGAAGCATACACCTTATGGAGACATACGCATGGTCCTTCTTTAAATGAACACTAGCAATTTTGTGGGAATTAATCATTATAAACCTAGATCTATCTGATGGGGATTTTTTTGTTGTTGTTCAGTCATTTCAGTTATATCTGACTCTTTGTGATGCCATTTGGGGTTTTCTTGACGAAGATAAATTTCCTCCTCCAGCTCATTTTACAGATGAGGAAACTGAGGCAAATAGGATTAAGTGACTTGTCCTGAGTCACACAGCAAATAAATATCGGAGGCCCGATTTGAACTCAGGTCTTCCTGACTCCAGGCCTAGCATTCTATCCACTGCACCACCTAGCTGCCTGTCTGATGGCTATTGAGAACAACTGCAAAAATTGACTCCCAAGTTTACCTGTCCAACCTCTCCCTATACTGCTGCTCTAATTACTCAAAGTAGGAGACTGGAGCAAAGGGATAGGAATGTAGAAAGTGGAACTGCAGGGAGGAAGATGGATTTCTGACCCCGTGGGCTAGAATTAGTTACTGGAATGAAAAGATGAAGCTGGGATACTTTTACAAAGCCACATCTGCCTCGAACAACAACCACAGCTCTGGGGTGGTGAGTGGTTCATTGACACCAGGCAAGAACAAATCCCCACGTACTCCTGTTTCCTTAGTCTATGAAAACGGGAAGCACATTTCTGCATTTTCACTTCAAGTGAGTTCCTTCAATTTCTCCTGTTATGGGGAGATGCAAAAAGGAGCTGAGCTCATCCATATAAATATAAAGAAATCTTCCTTTCCTCCCTTATTAAATAAAATATAGGTGTCAAATGTCCCCTGAAGTTCCTCAGTGTTCTAATCTAAATTCTGATCCAGAGAGATAACTATGAATACATACTAACCCACAAGTCAATCATTAGCAAGCTACTGTAAAATCATCATTTTAGGGCCCTTACATCTAATCAACCCCTTTCATTTTACAGATGAAAAAACTGAGGACCAGAAGGATGACATGATTTCCCCAAGGTCCCAGATTTCAAGCTAGAGGAGACTTTAGAGATCAACTGGCCTGACCCCTTCATTCACTCTACAGATGAGGAAACTGAGGCTCACAGAAGTGATGTGACCAGTTACATTGTCTCTAAATCACCAAGCATCACTCACCCCTGAGTCCCACCCACCACTTTCAGGCTGTGTCTACAAAGCACAAACATGGTGGCCTTTACTATTAGTCTGACTGGTCGGAATCAGTTGTTTTTCTTTTTTCATGTAGGAGAGAGGGAAGTATCAATTAGGATAGGTTTGGTGGTTTTCTTTTAATTGGGTGACTTTTCTTGAAAGACATGATCAATTGAATGATGGATCATAGAGTTAAAGCAATAAGGGAACCTTGGGGAGCACGTAGTCCAACCCCCTCATTTCAGAGAGGGAAATGGAGGTTCCGACAAGGGAAAAGACTTGCCCAAGGTCACACAGGCATGATGGGCCAAAGCTGAGCTTTGGAACCAAGTTTCCTGACTCTAAATCCAGTACTCTTTCCATGGCACCACAGGTCAAAATGATTTGTTCATTGTGGGAGGTGAGGGGCTACCATGTAGACAGACACAACCTGAACATTCTCCCTTATTTCCCCAGTCTTCTTTCTGGGTCACTTACTGAACAGACACTCCCACTTACTTGCATAGGCAGGTTGTTTGCCATTGTGAAGCTGGGCATGGGAGGCAAAGCACTGTATGTATTTGTTAGGGCTGTGTCCGTCCGACCCAACATAGAGCCTGATGTGAAGGAGGAGACTGCGGAACAGAAGAAACAAAAAAAACAAAAACAAAAACAATTGGCCTGGAATGCCACACTTCTGATAGTCACACCCTAGACTCAGTGGACAGACTTGAAAACAGATGCATTGTCTCAAAATTACCAGGAGTGGTGGGTTGTGGGATTGGCTGGTAGACGCTGGTACTGAAGCTACTGCTGATGGGTATGTGACTGGGTGTGTTGCTAGCCTGCCTTCTCTGGTTCCTCAGTTTTTCTTCCCTTCTCCATTTTGCTCTTCGATTAGAAAACCATACCTGGAAACAGGAAGGATGGGATGTACGTAAGGAAAAGCTTCAAGAAAAAAAAAAAGAAAAGAAAGAAAGAAAGGTCGTCTCCTCTCCCCCACCACCAACTTTCACCCCAGTTTCCAGCACCTCCCCCACTATCTGCAGCCAGTGAAACCTCTTGGGGCAGCAAAGTTTTTAGGACAGTACAGCTGGTAAGCTGGGTCTGTTGTAATTTATATAAATAAATAGTGGTAGTTAGCAGAGCCTTTGTCTTTTGAAAAGCCAAATATAGGAATCACAAAGCATTTAATTACCCAATCCCTAGTGTACCTGTATTCTTGCTTCAGGTAGGTCTATTTTGGCAGCTAGTCTTTCTCTGGCAAACACATCTGGGTAATGGGTTCGTTCAAACTCTGGAGGAACAAGTGAATATTTCAATATCAATGCCAGGGCTGCCCAAAATGAGTCAGCCTACATCTTAACCTTGAACTCATCTCTCCTCTTCATCCTGATTCTCCGACCTCCCACCACTGCCCTTGGAAATGCTATTATTAAATACTTGGAAAGACTTTTGTCACCAAAATTAAGTTAAACTTTCATTAAAATGACACTTGGAGATTGAGAAGCCAGAATAGTCCAAATCATCTTTTTATAGGAAGATTTATAGTCTTTAAATTCCTAGTATATTGGGAAAAACAGAATATTCAGATTTTTTTATACTATCCTACATAAGGGGTCCTGGTTAAATTTAGTTCTCTATATTTCAAATGTGTCACTGCCTTTGATCTACAATTTTTCTGCTTTGAAAAACTCCATCACCTTTCTCCAGAGCCTCAATTTGCTCTTGGGTAAAGGATGTCCTATTTCTTTGCAGTTTTCGCTTCAGCTGAAGTCTCATTTGGGCTTCATCTGAATCTTCTCCATTTGAGCTGATGGAATTAGTGTTCTCCCCCCCTCCTTCCTGTTGCTGGCAGCCATCTGGAACAACAACAACAAAAAAAATAGGACATTAAGAAAAAATCAGAGTAACTCAGATTCCTAAAGGCTCATATGATCCAGCCTCAGACTCCATCAGCCACGTTTTCTGACAGCCTCCCTGAAACATTCCCAAGAAATCTGGCCCCTCCAACGAAGGGGATTTTCAATGACCTGGCCTTTTATCTTCTTTCACTTTAACCAAGAGGAAAAAAAAAATGGAAAGACAGTCTCAAGAATACCATTCCTTTGTAGAACAAAACAGACACCAAAGCAGTTTCAAAGGAAAGTCATTTTTTTTAAAAGAAGCTTTGCCCAGATGCCTCACCACCAGGCTCCCTTTCCCTGTGCAATTTATTTACCTATGGCTACATTAAAAATAAGTGACGTTCAGCATTTCAGATTATCCATAATCAGTAATTCCGAGCTAATCAATTAGATGTTGATAGGTTTGCAGAAAATGCTATTAAGAAACCAAACCAAGCTTGTAATCTTTTTTAAAAAATATTTATCTAGTTTTTATTTGAATTCTGCACAGTCAATTTCATTTTAAAGGTTGTGAATTTGGAAGTGCTTGCTTTGTTCTCTAGTTTTATTCAACTATTGTATGAGTGTGTATTGCCTTGACACCTATTACTGAGCACAGCTGTAATTATATCATCACCAAGAACAGGCTATAATTGCTGAAAATGGAATTTTATATTTAGATAAAAGGACTGTCCATTCTTTGTAATGTGTTGCACCAGAGAAAAGTAAGATTTCTTTTAAAATTTCAACGTGTAATTTTAAAAAAGAAATAGTCGAGAGTTCACTAACTAGCTAAATATGCTACTCTGCAGCTGAGCCCCTTGGCATGTCATTTAAGTGGTACATTTTTAATTGGGGCATTTCCACCACTTTTAATGTAATTTCTATCATTAAACAAGGGAAAGTTTTTTTTTTATTATTATTATTGTTTTTGTCCCCCACCCCGTGCTGTTGGGCAGTGAGTTGTGTATGTACTTGGACTAGTTGGCTGTAGGTGCCTGGGAAGCCCCTAAACCCAATGGTAACTTCAGGGAGGAAGAAAATAGATACTGAAGGTAAGGAGGGTGGAGGGGGACTCCCCAGAGGGACCCCCATCCCCCAGCCCTGCTTTGCTTTCTCCTTCTTTGTCCCTAGCTCCCCTTCCAGGACACTAAAGGAGGCCTCCTCCTCCCCCTAGCTTTAGTTCCTGAAGGCTGGGTGGGGCTGCTGCTTGGGACAGCTTCTGCTCAGGAGCTGGGGGGCTGGGGGGCTGAGAGGACTAGTGGGGTGGGAATCGACTTCTCCAGGAATATCATTTATAACCAGGGACAATAGGCAGCGCATTCAAAGCGATGGGGCAATTGTGACAGGATCTAGTGGGATCCTTTCAGGCGCTCTGAAATGTTTTAAAACCCCAACTTTCTCCCCCATTTAAACAGGCGGATTCATCGGCACTGGTCACCATATGGGCCTCGGGAGATCTATTGAGATGACCACCAACACTTGAATAGCTCGGGGCTGCTTTTCACCGGCGCACAAAGCCCGGGGAGTAAGGGAAACTATTAAACTCCTGGGGCAGGAGCGTTGGCAAACTTTCGTGGGCAGAATTTGGAGGCCACAATGAGAGGGCACAACAAAAGGATTCTCTTGAGGCGTGCAGCGGGCCACATTGTGTTACAAGCAGCCCAGTCAACAGACTTTTCAGTGAAGTATGTTAACCTCTCTGCTCTACTATCATTAATCACTGTCCCCTGGGCTGGGCTCCTCAATGCTATTTAGGGGGCTCGCCTTTCTATAGGGAGGGGGAAGAAGAGAAGGGGGAGGGAGAAAAGAGGTGGAGGAAAGGAGAGGAGACATGAAGAGACAGAGAGGGGAGGGAGGGGAGAGAGAGAGAGAGAGAGAGAGAGAGAGAGAGAGGGAGAGAGAGAGAGAGAGAGAGAGAGAGAGAGAGAGAGAGAGAGAGAGAGAGAGAGAGAGAGAGAGAGGCAAACTTGTGAATAGAGCATCTCTCAGAACATCTCCATTGCCTGAGCTGTTTACTCTACAGCAAGAAACAAAAGCGATGGGGGTGGAGGGAACTACTTAGCTAAGATTAGATAAGCTTCAACTCCTGCTTTAGGACACAAGTGTCTGTTTTTATTTACTGCCCAAAGTTAGCATGACTTTTTAAGTGGTTTTCAGGGCAAGAATTCAAGTGTCCCCTTGTTTTTGAATTAGGGAGAGAGAACAGAGGAGAGGGCTGTGGAAAGGGGAAGAGAAAAGAAAGGGGAGAAGAGAAAAGGAGAAAAGATGAGAAGAAAGAGGGAAGAGAAGAAGAGGAAATGGGGGGGAGAAACAGAAGAGAAATATTACAAGTAGTCTATCGGTCTCTGCATAATTTCCTCTTTCTGAATCAGAAAGAGAAGTTTCCAGACAACCTTTTCCCAAATGTAAAAAGTTATTGAATATTCTGATTGGGATAAGTGAAATGGGGTCTCTCTCTCAAATTTCTTCTTGAAATCCTAGGGCTAGTAGCTGGAAGCAAATCTAAGGCAAGGAAGAGCTGAGATCTGGGTCCTGGGAGAGTGAGGCGGAGTGAGAAAAGAGCTCCCTTTCCTTATCACCTCTTTTCCTGCCTGGTCCCTCCAAGAAGTTTTTCCTTCTTGCCCTCACTGAGACTTAAACCTTTCTTAAATTGGATTTAAATCCTCTTTATTTGACTTTTACTTTCCTAATTTGAAATGTGGTTTTAAGGAAATCTGAGGAAAGTGTGTCTGTTTCTCTGTCTCTCCTTTCTCTATCCCATCCCCATCTTCATTCCCCCAACCAAGGTTAGATTAACATTGACCAGAGTCTACAGTGGCTTAGAGCTTAAACGTATATCCAGCTTTTCTTGGGCAAGAAGGGAAGACAAATTAGGAGACTGGAAAATTTTAAGACTTTTTTTTTCTTTTTTAAAGGAAAGAAGGAGCAACACCAGGGAAACAAGTCATTCTTTTTTGTTGTTGTGGTTGATTTTTTCTTCCTAGTCATTTACCACTTCCCAAGGTTCTAAACCACGACTATTTATCTGTTCCATTATTTACTTATTCTCCTTTAAATCCACTTTACTTCCATTCTTTACAATTGTTTGAAATTTGGAGAAAGGATGTTTACTACTTTTTGCTGTTCCTTTACTTTTTTTAAGCCTGTGTGACCCTTTTAAAGTCTATTTACACAGAGTACCAAAAGTTCCCTCTCAAATTCCAAGTAATATAAATGTAATAGACAATTAAGATCTTTTCTTTTAAAAAAGACCCCTCAGAAGCTGCCAGTGAAGGGTCTTCACTGGTAGCATCTTACCTACTGCTATCCCTATCGCTTGACCTTCAAGCTCTCATGCTGGAGGAAGAAGAGGAAGAGGAAGAGGAGGAGGAGGAGGAGAAGGAGGAGAAGGAGAAGAAGAAGAAGAAGAAGAAGAAGAAGAAGAAGAAGAAGAAGAAGAAGAAGAAGAAGAAGAAGAAGAAGAAGAAGGAGGAGGAGGAGGAGGAGGAGGAGGAGGAGGAGGAGGAGGAGGAG